AAAAAAAAAAAAAATGAAAGGGCCGGGGGTGTAGCTCAGTAGCGCTGTGCCTGCCTGGCAAGTACAAGGTCCTGAGTTCGATCTCCAGTACTGGGAAAAAAAAAAAAAGAAAGAAAATAAGTTTCAGTGTGAGGGGATGCTGGCGGAATCTTTACTTAAACTTAGAGTATTGTTATGGGGCATGGGATCAGTGCAATGGATGAAAATGATTTGTATTTTCTCTTTTTTTTTACATAGTACTATTAGTGTTGCAGTATCATGGTTTGTCTTTTTTTCTTTTCCTTTCTTTTTTGAGACAGAGTCTCACTTTGTAGTTGAGGCTGACTGTGTAGCCCAGGCTTCAGGCTGGCCTTGAACTTGTGGCAGTACACCTGCCTCAGCCTCCTAAGTGCTGAGATTACAAGTATGCACCACCATGTCCTGCTTGCATGTAACCTTTCTTTACTCTTGTTTAGATAGGAATATCTGTATAATTTCATCATCCATATAGAAATTTGATACCATGTGGTAGTGTTTTGTTTAGATTTGGGGTTTTTGATTTTATTTTGTGCTGGAAACTGAACACAGGGTCTTGCACATAGTAAGCATGTGCTTTACCACTAAGCTGAACCCGCCATGTGGTAGTGTTTTCAACGTTCACAACTATCATATACTCATCACTCATTGTTTCTCTTGCCTTTTTTTCCTTTAAGGTAGTTAAATGAGCAATTACTTAATTTGAGAAATGAAGTATAGTTTCATAAATGGTTGGAATCATTAACATTAATTTATAATCACTTGGGCTGTTATACCTAACAGTATCCTAAAATATTTTAACTTAGTTTAAAATTGTTTTAGTATAGCTCCTCTGGTCTGCATAAGGATTATTTTTTTCTGGTATCGGCAATTGAACTCAGAACCTTGCACTTGCCAGGCAGGTGTGGTGCTGTTTGAGCTATATCCTCGGCCCTGGGTAAGGGTATTTTGTTTTGTTTTCTTCTGAGTTTTTTACATGTCTTCTTTTTTTTTGGTACCAGGGTTTGAACTCAAGACCTTGTGCTTGCAAGGCAGGCGCAGTGACACTGAGCTAAATCCTTGGCCCTCTTCTGAGTTTTTTGAGACAGGGTCTTACTGTGTAGTATTGAACTCACAAGGATCCTCCTGCCTCAGCCTCCTGAGTTTGGGTTTTATAGGCATGCACCGCCATGCCTGGCAAGGGCCTTTTAATTAATCAAAAAATCATCTAGTTTCCCTGAAAAATAGTTATTAAACATAAGGCTTATGTAGTTATCTTATAGAAGAAACTAGTTTTGATAATTTATTGTTTTATTTGAAAAATGTTTTGTTTTGTTTGTTGGCTTTTGAGGTGCTGGGACCTAGCCCCGGGCCTGTACATACTAGGCAAATGCTCTACAGCTGGGCTAAACTCCCAGCCTTGGAAGATTGTTTTGGAATTAACCTAGCCCCTCATTTCTAGAGTATCTTAAGCTTTCAAGAAGACAGAATAAAAATGTGTTTTAAAAACCTAATGTTTGGGCTGGGGATTTAGCTCAGTGGTGCTGCCACCTGCCTGACAAGTGCAAGGTCCTGAGTTTGATCCCCGGTACCAAAAAACAAACCTCACTAAAAATCTGATGTTTGAAACACCAAATAAAAATAAGAATTGTCTTAGTCTGTGATAGACCTGAAGTATCTTTAAGGTATCTTCTGTCTACACAGGTTGAAAGGCACGTGTTTTTTTAAAGAGAGAAAAATATTTTTGTTTTTGTTTATTGATTGTTAAAGGTTTTATTGTACAGCTTTAATATGTATTTGTTTTTGTGGCAAAGCACAAAAATAAGCGTTTAAAAGTACAGCAAGTATGGGCTGGGGATTTAGCTCAGTGGTTCCACCAGCTGCCTCGAAAGCACAAGGTCCCAAGTTCAATCCCAGGTACCAAAAAAAAAAAAAGTACAGCCAGTATGATAAAAACAAAATTAGGCAAAAATTAAAGAATGGCAAGTACTGTAAGGACAAGTATGGGCAAGAGGCGCTGATACAGATACATTTACATGACCTGTTAAGTTTGATTGATAATATCCAAATGCTTTTCTTTTTCTATGTTTGTTTGTAAACGAAGGTTCCCCCTCGGGCAGAAGAAATCACCATTCCGGCTGATGTCACCCCTGAGAGAGTCCCAACACACATTGTGGATTACTCAGGTAATAGGTGAGCTCTGTAGGTGAAGCTCTAAGGTTAAAAAGTCATGAAAACAGGGCCAGGGATTTAGCTCAGTGGTTTCGCCGCCTGCTGCGCAAGCGCAAGGACCCGAGTTCGATCCCTGGTACCAAAAAAAAAAAGTCATGAAAACAGACTTTTTGTTTTGTTTTTTGAGACAGGATCTTGCTACATATTCCAGGCTGGTTTTGAACTCACTATGTGGCACAGGCTGGTCTTGAACTCATAGCATTCCTCCTGTCTCAGCCTCCTGAGTGCTAGGATTACTGGCATGTGCTGCCAACACCTAGCTTTTGAAAACAAATTCTTCCTAAGCATTTAAAAATGTTCAGGGAGGGCCAGGGATGTAGCTCAGTGGTACAGTACCTACCTGGCAAGAATGAGGCCCTGAGTTCAATTCCCAGTACCAAAAAAAATGTTCAGAGAGAGATGGCCCTTACTCTATCATAGTATGTGATCCTTTTCTATCCTGTTTCATTTATATCTCTCTACCTACCCCCACCCAAAGCCTCCATCTGATAGTTCTCTGTCCTTAAATACTAAATTGGGTTCCATAATAATGAAAAGTAAGGAGAATGGTAAGTAGTGTGTAAGTCATCATCCTTCTGGAATTGTCTTTGCAGAGAGAAGGTCTGGGTCAGTTCTATTATCAGGCACTCAGGCATACTCTTACAGAGTTAGAAAAAGTTGTGAGTTTAAGAATTTGGCTGGGGGGCCAGGGATTTAGCTCAGTGGTTTTGCCACCTGCTGCGCAAGTGCAAAGACCCAAGTTCGATCCCTGGTACTAAAAAAAAAAAAAAAAGAATTTGGGTGGGCATGGTGGTGCATGCCTGCTGAGGCAAGGTTACTGCAGGTTTGAGGCCATCCTAGGCTACATAGTGAGTTCAAGGCCAGGCTGATCTACATAGTGAGACCCTGTCTCAAAAAACTGGGAAAAAACCCCTCTAAGTTTATTCTTTAATTTTTAACTTTAATTTGTTACTATATAATTAAAACAGTTATTAGGTTATGTTAGGTAGGAAGCACATGTGTATTGCTTTAGTAATTATTCTTTTTTGGTACTGGAGATTGAACTCGGAACCTTGTACTTGTACTTTTTTTGTTTTGAGGTAAATAAAAATGTTATCTTTTTTAGACTTAACTACTAGAAGGTTAACAGTTACATATGTGGCTTACATTGCTTGTCTGTTGGACAGTAAGTACTATCCTAGGAGCTAAGGGAGAGTGACTGTCTTCTGCCTCAATAAGTCTGATAACTAGTTTTACTTACAAAATTATTCTTTTTTTTGGTACCGGGAATTGAACTCGGGACCTTGGCAGACAGGTGGCAGAACCACTGAGCTAAATCCCCGGCTCGAAATTATTCTTTTTTAGTACATGTAGCCACAAAGATTTACTTCAGTTTTAGTCTTAGAGCCTTAACCTGTTACTTAACATATGAAAAGATATTGAAGATATGACCAGTTATTTAGCATAGTACAAAATACCACTGGTAGGCCAGGGATTTAGCTCAGTGGCATCTCGCCTGCCTTGCAAATGCAAGGTTCTGAGTTCGATCTCCGGATCCAGAAAAAAAAACAAACCACTGAACGCATATGTGATACTAGTTTATATTTGAGAAATAATAGGCCTACTGGGGGGATGTCAACAGGTAAGCTAACTGAGGTGACCTAAATTAATACCTCAGTAACTGCTTCACTCTTCATTTCTTTGTTGCCTCCTCTGATTCTGTCATGCTTATCCTTTGTGCCTGTGGGCCTCTGGAAGACAGTTCTGGCTCGAGATAGGTGCTAGAGAAGGAGGGAGTTCTGGATTCTTCAGTGTCATGTACAGTTTTGCTTCTGGGCCTTGGTTATTATTATGCCTACCTGCTATCTAGATCTTTATTCTCATTTGGCCTTATGGCTCCTGTGTGTATAGACTCTTTGTCTGAACTTCTGACTCTGAAGCACTCAGTTTTCGATCTTGAGTTGCTGATCTTTTTTGGCTGACCTTTCTCATTCTGGTTCAGATGCTGGCCTAGATTTATCACACAGTGGCTCTGCTCTCCTGTGTCTGAGTTATCCTCTTGTAGTCTTGTCTTTCATTGCTAGCCAGTTTCCTTCCTTATCATAGTACAACTTGATCTTCCCTGGCTTGCCTTCTGTCTTAGCCACCTAGCCTGATGCTAACCTCCAAGTCATTTTGACGGATGTTAGATGGGTGGGGTATAGATTTTAGCTTGACTGTTAGTCTTATGAAAGTGTTTAAAATATGAAATACTGACTTTTTGTCATTTGTAGAAGCAGAACAGAGTGATGAACAACTTCATCAAGAAATATCACAGGTGAGTTTAAAAACATGGTAGAGAGGTTTGGTGGGAAAAAGTGATTTTTTTTAACCTATTTTTTAAATATTCTCACCAAGAATTTTAATTCTTTGTTGTAATTGCTGATTTTGTGTATATATTTTTCCTGTAAGTTGTAACTTCTTTTTTTTTTTTTTTAAGTTCTTTTATTGGTACATTTTAGGTATACAATTTGTTTACATTTATCATTGTGTGAGTTGTGACTTTTTTTTTTTTTTTCCTGGTAACTTCTTGGGAATATTTTTCTGTTATGAGGCAAGTTTTTTTTTTTCCAAATTTATTTTTCTTTTGGCCTGAATATATTAGCTAGTTGGTAATTAAATGTTACTGTTTATATTTTTATTTTAAAATGGCATTAATTTGTTAATTTTTCTTCTAGGCTAATGTCATCTGCATAGTTTATGCTGTTAACAACAAACATTCTATTGATAAGGTATGAATGTCTGACTTTTTCTTACTATAGCTAGTTAAATTTTAATGCAGTACTTTCAAAATTGATTCTCAATTTAGAATTTTAAGGATCTAAGGACAGTATTTTTTGAAAAAGATCTGCATCATGACTTAGCTCTTGTTAATTTTGTTTTAGGTAACAAGTCGATGGATTCCTCTCATAAATGAAAGAACAGATAAAGACAGCAGGTATTTTTTCTGTCTCAAACATTATATTGAAAAATTTCAAGTTTACAGACAAGGTGCAAGAAATAGTAATGAACATCTGTAAACCCTTCTCTTAGATCCACCAGTTAAAATTCAGCCACATTTGCTTTGTCTATCAGTTTGTTTCTCTGTTCACCCACCTCCGTGCACATATCTCTTTTGGGAAGAATCATTTGAAACTGCACATATATTTGAGAGCAAAGCAAGATACAGAGCTGTGATACTGTAATGATTCAAAATTATAGACACATTAAATATTATGAGCATGTTACATTTGTGTTTCTCAAATTGCAGGTTGAAAGTGTCACTTTTACCATGTACGTTCCACTTATATTGTGTGTCCTGCCCCCCCTTTTCTTTTTGTGATACTAGGGATCAAAGCCAGGGCTTTGCACACTTGTACATGTTAGACTAGAGCTCTACCGCAGAGCTGTGCTCCTAGTCTGCCTCTCTCTTAAGATCCCCCCTTAATGGACTGTGGCATATTGATTGCTCATAGCGTGATAGGGAAAAAGCAAGAGGCCGTGCATTCTCTACTTTTCTGAGCAGAATAGTAGCTTTGGGGATAAATTTTTTAAGTCAAAATGGAAACAGCCAGCCAGATAGGGTGGCATAATCCCAGCATTTGGGAGGCTGAGGCAAGACTGCTACAAGTTCAAGATCAGCCTGGGCTGCAGAGTAAGTTCAAGGCCAGCCTGACACCCTGTCTCAAAAAAACACAACAAAAAACCAGAGGCCATAAAAGTGGAAGGTTTCTGTGTAATTGCTAGGGATGGTGGCATATACTTATAAGACCAGTACTTGAGAAGCTGAGGCAAGAGAATTGCCATGTGTTTTGAGGTCAGCCCCAGTTATGTAGTAAGAGTGTCAAAAAGAAGCAAAACGTTTTCTTTACAGTGTTACTTATTTGATTGGACATACATTATTTATGAAGCATTTGAGACTGTTTAAGTGTTAGGAAAATCAGGCTATTATTAGTCATATATATTTGGTCCTTTGCTTGATTTTTTACATTTCTTTTTTAATTGGGCATTTTTGTGCTTTGAAACTCTGAAGATCTGGTTCTGAATAGATGAGGGTGATCATTGACCCTCATTGGAGAGACTTTATGACTGTGATGGCATTAAATGTGCTGTGCCTTGCAGCCCTGATGACTTCTCCTTTTTGTGGTTTTAAACGCTGAAGTGATTTCCTGACAAAGTGGGAAGGGAGCACTGGGCCTTCTAAAGCTGTTCTGGCCAATGCAGTAGCCTCTAACCAGTTGTGGCAATTTTTTTTTTTTGGTACTGGGTATCGAACTCAGGACCTTGGACTTGCGAGGCAGGCAGCACAACCACTGAGCTAAATCCTTGGCCCTTGTGGCAATTTAAATTAAATAAAATTAAAAAATAAGACTAAAATTTCATTTCTTCTAGCACACTTAGCCCCATTTCAAGGCCCTGAGAGGTCCATGTGGCCAGTAGCTACAGAAGCAGCCAGTGCAGATGAAGAGCATTCCCAGCAGCCTAGAATGTCCTGATGGGCATTGCTGCCTATAGTCCAGTATCCATGTGCTCCTGACATCTGCCCTTCGTTTTTTTTTGGTACCAGGGATTGAACTCAGGTCCTTGAGCTTGCGCAGCAGGCTTTGAAGCCACTGAGCTAAATCCCCGGCCCTGCCCTTCTTGTTTGAGCCATTTCCCTCCATATCCAGAGAGACTCTTCAGAGAAAGCACTTTTGCCTGGACCTATCAAGCACCAGCCGTGTCCACTGAATTGAACATTTTTTGTCGTGGCTTCCTAAAATGCTATGGCTAGTTTAAGTGGTGCTTTTAGTACCCTTTGGAAGTGGCTTTTGTTGCTAGGAATCTAATTTAGCATTCACAGGTATGACTGTGGTCCATAGTCATGGGTGTGGCCATCCCTAGACTATTAGTTTTCTCTTTTTGAATTATATGAGCATACTTATTTTTCTGATTTTGAATACCCTGAGGTGTGGCATATTTTTTATTATATAGACCTTACACTTTCCAGTAACTTGTTACCTGGCCCTCATACCTTCAATTTACATCTGTTACATATGTATCCTTCCTTGGTACTACTGTATCTTGGGCCATTGTCACAGTGGTTTGTTGTTGTTTTAAGAGGGTCTCACTCACTGTGTAGAGCCAAACCGCTGGCACCACACCTTGATAACACAGTGGTTCTTTTTTTTTTTGGTACCGGGGATCGAACTCAGGTCCTTGTGCTTGCGCAGCAGGTGGTGAAACCACCAAGCTAAATCCCCGGCCCAACACAGTGGTTCTTAATCGGGAATGTATATCATTATTACCCGAGACATTAAAAAATATGCTTTTGTCCTACCCTAGAATTTTAGAATCAGTAATATTTATTTATTTTTGAGACAAAGTTGCTATGGAGTTCAGGCTGGGCTTAAACTCACTATGTAGCTCAGGCTGGCCTCAAACTCACAGCGATCCTCCTGCCTCAGTCTCCCTGAGTGCTAGTCTTACAGGCTTGTTCCACTACACCCAGCATAAGCCTCAGACTGGTTTTTTTTGTTGTTTTGTTTTGTTTTTATTGATTTTTTGTTTTTTTGGTTCCGGGTTCGAACTTGGGTCCTTATGCTTGCGAGGCACACAGCGGAACCACTGAGCTAATTCCCTGGCCCTTTATTGTTTTTTTGAGACAGGGTTTCCCTATATGGTTCAGGGTGGACCTAAACTCACTATGTAGCCCACGCTGGCCTCAAACTTGTGGTAATCCTCTC